CGGAAAAACCTTCGCTCAAACATTGGAAAATTTCACCAAAAAGGATAGGGCATGACGAGGAGGCATATTTATGGCCACAGCACGCAGGGAGCGGTCATCTGCGAACAATGTGTGATCTTATTCCTACACACAGTTAAGCGTACTCTACAACTGTGCAGAAATTTCCCCGCTACCTCCTCAGATTTCGGAAAAACCTTCGCTCAAACATTGGAAAATTTCACCAGATAGGCTAACTGTCCAGCCAAGAATTGATCTATGATTTCCATTTGAACACGAGAGGAGGAGATGTTGAGCGCAGGACTACGTGTTAAGTCATTTCTGTCAGTCGCTGTGGACTAGGGACCATGAACTCTGGAAAAAAGCAATCGATCCATTCACAATACAATGGACGATGTTTAATACGCGGCGCGTTCTGAGGCAACTGCTGAGACCCATCTCTCTGAAGAACGATCATGATGCATAAGCGGGATTATATGCGCACCACATTCAAACAATTTTTTCTCGAGCCAAAGCTCGAGTGCATGGCGCAATCTGAAGTGGGGCTTTCCAAAAGTTGAAAAGCATATTCTTATAGATCTCGACAAGCTGAATTCAATTGTTCTTTCGTTCTGTTCTCTTCCACCTTCTAGATGAACTGCGCTCGGTATGGTTGGCGGGTTTGCTCGACGTTTCTCTACTCGTTGAGAGAGTGCAGAATATAAAATGTGGGAGGCGTGCACACATGAAAATTGATAACACGTGACATTGTGCCAGCGCCAACGCTTCAATCGTGTCAAACGCGCGTTGTACGTGCCTGCGGCAGGAACATCATAATTCATGTTGACTTTGGATGCCCACCGTGTCCAAACGGCTTAAGTCCTCCTATATTTGAATGATGCCCACAAAAGAGAGGTTCCCAGTGGCACCACTTGGAGGAACGGTGCCCATCACCTCGTGCGAGGCATCCATCTTCCTGTAAGTACCCATCACCTCGTACGAGGCACCCATCTTCCTGTAATTCACCTTGGCGGCGCAGCCTTTGAAAGCCTCTTGCAGGTTTTGTAGGCAGCGAGGTCTCGGGGCTCCGGGTCTTCTGCCAGCGCTTGTATGCTTCCTTCTTCTGCTTCACGACTCGCTGGACCTCCTCGTTCCAGAACCACGCCGCCTGTGTCTTCTTGAATCCACCTCGGGTCTCGGGCACTGGCCCTTCGTGTCAGAGAGGACAGCTTTCGTTGTTTTCCGTCTGACGGGGGAAGGTCATCAGGCCGGTCCGGCCATTTGCAATGAGTCGTATACCGTTGAAGTCGCCTCGAGGCGCTGAGCTCAGAACTGCCTTCCTTATCTGCTAAACGATTCTTGAACGTAGTTATAAAGCAAGGAAGCGCAGTGGCAGTGCCCCGAACTCGCGAGCAAGAGGTCGTGGGAACGGTTCCTCGGAGAGTCTGTTTCTTTTGTGCTTCGTGAAGATGTAGCCAGAAAGCTTCTAACTTCTTAATTTATCAACTTTGCCATTAGTTCCCTGTACGAAAAAATTTCGAGCAGTTCCTTGCAGGTTTGGGCAGTAGTCGTCCATGTATGAACATGGTGCCCGTAATGCACGTGTCAGGCTTTTTCGCGGCAAACAGGCGTGATATTCGTGTTCAGGAGATCAAACTACCCTTGGAGATAAGTTTCCTACCGAATCTGAGATTTTGACCCAACCCTAAAAAATGAGGTGAGTCAACCATCATATCATCAACCTATCGTTGAACTCTTGGCATGGAAATTGCCCTTCCAACCAAGATTTTGAAAAGAGAAACGTTCAACGGCTCACATTTCCGCATAATGGAAATGATTTACATGACTCTGCATCAAAATTCAGGGAAGGTGCTTTTCCAGTTAGTTTTCGATTCATACCTTCTCTCGTTTGACTGTATGTTGACTGCCCTTTCTCGAGTGTAGGTCAAAATCTCAGATTCAGCTGGAAACTTGTAACCAGGGAAAATTCGGTCTCCTGAACACGAATATCATACTCGTTTACCGCAAAAACACCTTATCAGTGGGCTATGAGCGTCGTTTTCAGTCATCTGCAGCTGAGGCCCTCTGCATTTGCAGGCACGCAGATGTACAGGACTTCCAAATTACGTGTACGGTGCCGATTCGCCAAGGAATCGAAGATAAGGTGGGCCGGACACGTCATGCGATTTTGCGATGACCGTTGGACCAGAGCGGTTACCGACTGGATCCCTCGGGACGTCAAACGAACACCTGGACGACCGCCGGCCCGATGGTTAGATTTCTTCGTTAGGCTCTAAACAAGTAGAATGAGAAGAGGTTTGCTCGTCCTCCAACGATTTTGTGTCAGTCGTTCGAGGACGATCGCAAACCTACTCTTGCATGTGAAAGGGAGGAGTGGAGACGTTGTTGACGCCCGCTCGAACAGAATGATGATCAAGGGACCAGGTGATGAAGGTGATACCGTGTTTTGATGTTACGTTACATTACAGTTTCCTACAAATTCATTTCTTGTATCTCTTAAATGGAACACCGCTGCAGTTTTGAGTACTGCATTTTGCGTTTACGCCTTATCTTCCTAGCAGGCCAAATAAGTGTATGCTTCTGATAATGTACACCAGTTGCATAGGCACTAGTATGGGGGAGCTCACGATTTTGGTGAAAAAAAAACAAATGGGAAACACCGTTCAAGGATTTTTCTAGTGTGCTCCCTCCCCACCACAACTTTCGCGAGCTTGGGAAGATGCTGCTCATCTTATATTACAATTCTGTCCACCGATGCTGCTTTCACTGGGTTCTATAAATTATACGCTTCAATTCCGAAGTGGATGGAAGCCACGCCTGTAGGGTGTCTCGTGAGTTTCCGCATTCTTGCATCAAAGGCGAAGACCGGGATCAGACGCAATTCCATCAACCCATAGAGATGGTACCACGCTCCCAAATCGAAGCAGCGAGGCAATAAAGCCCCGCGTAAGTATTCTAGCTATCGCTGCCTGCTTTTAGCTATGGTCACTCGCCGTGGAAGGTGGTGCGTGGCTAGCATAGGCCTTTGTCACACCTCGCGAATCGCCGGATGCGCTACTAGCGAGTTGTTAGATCCGCATAGTTTGACACCGGCGACAAGGTGCGAACTCGGCTGGATTGATTGCGACACCAACTGCTGGTTCGGTGCCAGCGATGGTTGGCAATCTAGAAAATTCGTTCGGAGAAGTCTTTACGCTATGCCCTCTTTTTTGCTGCTGTCGAAGCGGAGTGTTCTATTCGGTTCTAGGAAGCTCTGTTGATAGTTTCTGGTAGTTTTTCTTTGCTTTCGCTCCACTTCGCATCCATAAACTCAGTTTGAAGCGCCATAATACCCCAACTGAAGTCCGACATTTGCGTTTGAATAATTTATTCGTTTATTTGTCAAAAAGGCAGCTCGCAGCTAGGTAGTGCAATCGCTAAGTGCTTCTACTAATTACGTTCATGAATCAGGCGTTGTTAAAGGCACGAGTCGGGATTGAATTGATGCGTTATTTTGTTCAAACATTAGGCAAGGGGTGCAATGAGGAACATTAGTGAGGAGAAAAAGCAAAAAGCACCATAGAAAACACTAAATTTCCCTTAGGAGGCCGGCCGTAGTACGACGGAGAGACACAGCGCTGCGAGGAGAGGGAGAACGCGAGATAGTACGTCGTACGCGAGAGGACGCAGAGACCACGTATGCCGTGGTGGATTACGCTGGCAGCGCGGGCAGCGCGGCGGGCAAGGCCTTAGCGCCATTGCCGCGCACTTTTGGGTCGCGATAGTGTCGCGCCCTCAGTGCTTGGGGAGCCCACTATCGCACCCTGGGAAGAACTTCTGCTGGTTGCCTAATCCTGATTTGTGGCTTTAAGGTCGAGTCGAAAACAGATTCCTGTTCCGCAACTACACAACATATGCTATGAAAATCGATGCTAACCAAATAGTGTAAGCATGGTTAGGAGCTCTTTAGCAGCTTAGTCCAAAGTGTCAGGATTGTTTGACACTGTGGACTAAACTGCTTGAGATGCTTCATGCTACTTTCCATCACTAGATAGCTGTTGATTTCCTTGGGTATAAAGATAACTTCTGAATAAACTTTGCACACTACGCAAAACAATACCAGTGCACCCGCCATTGCAACAAGGGTGGACTCGGTTTACTTGATCCGTCCTTAATCCACACACCACAAAAGATGAAAGCGTTGCAAGATTTATTCACAGCGATGGGGACAGTGAAAGATCAGGGAATGCCGGCACTACTATTGCTAGACAATTCGCAAAGTAGCTTTCCGCATTTGAACCCTGGAATTTTGTTACACACATCAGGCTTTTGCTTACAACCGGTCCCATCTCCTCTTTGGTACAGCCTTGTGCCTGGGGAAACACTAAAATGAAGATATTTGAGTAATCTGCAAGAGCAATCAAGAGCTGAGTATGACTTGTTTACTTTGTATTGTAGATACACATAAGCACGGCTTCTTCTACTGAGTTGTGCTGATTCCTGCACACAACAAAATTGCAGCCAACCTCGTAAATGCCGTGATATACCATCTGAAAACAATGTCATCCTCGTTCAAAGAAAAAAATCCGAAACTGTAATTCACATTGGAGTACGTGATAATGGTATTGTCAGACATGATCCGAAATCCCAGTGCGCCGTAGAATTGTGCCGGTAGGGTCCACTGATACAGTGCGTTCCGAATGGCTTTTACTGTTCCCTCATCAGCAATGTAGTCTCCATCGTAGAAACTGAAGTAGATCGGGATATTTGAGGAGTATAGAAGACAATTTCCATGAAATTCTCGTTGTGATTGTGTGAAACCTAATGTATTCACTTACTAAAAAATATTCTGTCCGAGATTGATTGACTCATCGACAGAATGAGCGCAATTTTTGGTCAACTCCACTGCTTTTTCTTCGAGGGCGCAACTCCATATCTGCAAAGGCAAAGTGACAAAGGCGTTCTTAATCTTTAGTGGAACATTTCTCTATTGTGATTTTCTTATAAACATTATACAAAATTGCGACATATGCATTTACAGTAAATCATTGTGACCATGTCATCAAAAAGCAAAGGATCCACCCTATTATTCAAAACGTATTTTGACCGCTGTGATTTTGTTGAACTCCGAAGCTAGCTTTGTTTGTATTTTTCGTCTTGATTGTAACCTACTTTTCTTTTGTTTGTTCTTGCGGCTAATGCGACCTGAACAAGGCCAAAAGTGCAGGGCTCATTGAGGCGATCTTGAAGAATTGAAGGTTGATGACCCAATGCAATAGCCAAGACAGATTGAGTAAACAGTGAAGAGGAGAAAAGAACCAACAGAGCCGAACTAAAGCCCGCTAAATGGGGACATTCGCAATAGCCTTTGCCACTTGAAATGGTAGATTATTCCGAAATAAAGAGAGCGATGACGATGAAAGTACCAAGATCCCTCTACCTTTTGCTACTTGTCAGCTGCTTGGTGGGCGTGAGGAATCTCGTACAAATCCGCCACAGCCACTGCCACTACAAGGAGTATGTTGCGCAACTGCAACTATTAGGTCGTGAAGAAAGTTCTTGCGCTTTTCGGTGTTTCGTTTTTGAACGCTTTATTTTGTTACGAATTCAAGCAAGCTGCCAATGAGCTGTATGTGGTTTTGAAGAGCTTTTCTTGTTCTATCTAACAGCTAGGCTAGCTATGTTCCTTATTATTTAGTTGTCATTTTTTGAAGCCTTGAATACGGCATACTCCAAGAGCAAATTTGCATGATTTCCTTTTTCTAGCTCAAAGCAGGCCAGTATGGAGAGGAAGCAGGTCAAGATATTATAGACGCACTTGGCTGAGATTCGCAATAAATATGGTCTGAAGCAATTGTTCAAAAAGCTTTTGTAAGAATAGCGAGAGCCCTAAAGATTGTGAGGGTGGTGATCGGAGATTGGACAACGCCAACGATTAGTCGAACGTTCTGGTTGAAGCACGTTTGCACAAATCTATTGAGAGGGTTCCTCCTAAACTAATCGCACTTGCATTGTGTTTTCTTGTTGTACGGGAAGAGCTGGAAAGTCCAAAAATTCAAATAGGGGCGTGCCGCGACAGCTCACCATTTTGAAGGGTCGTTCGCCGCGTTCTAGCTTGTTTCATGCCATGAAAACGACCTGACTTTTTGATCATTTGCGACGCACGACAAAGAACGGATTCTTTGCTACAGAATACGAACCTTTGGTGAAGTGATCGACCGCGATCAGGCTCTACAAACTTTGCAAAAGTGAAACTTCACTGAAGGAAGGTTGAGGTGACTTTCATAAGGTCAGCGGCTGGTCTAGCTTTTCGTAACCAGGTGGATCTGTTAATGTGGAAAAAGTACTCCTGATAATGTGTCAAACTACTCCTAGAACTCTGGCACATATGCTCGAAATTCCTCATTATAAAGGAACCGGCTCGTCCCTGACAGGTAGCTCGGACGCACATTCCACAACCAACCCTGCAGAAGTTGGACAAGATTGGCTACGAATTAGTCCTGCGAACATCCTACTCGGTAGACCTTTTGCCTATAATTTGTCACTTTCTCGACTACCTGGATAGCTTCTCCAAAGAGTTATGCTTCAAAAACCAACATGATGCGGAAACGACCTCCGCCGGGTTCATCGTCTCTAGAGCTCCAGTATTCTGCACTACCGGGCTGATTCAACGCAGCTGTTATGGCAGAGGTTTGTGGATTCCAACAGTCTTTACTACAAAAAGGTTACAAATGAGCCGAGATACAGGCATTGCAAAATCAAGGTCGAAAAGCGCAAGAACTTTCTTCACGACCAAATAATTACGGACCTGCCTCACTTCATCGTAAGCACTATATTTATCGTTCTTTAACCTGCAACTCATCAAACCACATGCTTACTAAACTTTGGGATTGAAGCGCAAAATTTGCCGCTAGTTCGGAAAAATAGAAAGTCTGGGACGGCATCAATTCCGTTGTCAAACCACGGAAACACGTCCGTATATTTTTGGAATTATTCCATTCAAAAACCGGCCGAATGAAATGGAAAATCTGAGAGAGCGGCTTTTGCTCGCCGCCGTCTCACATGGGTTTTGATGGACTTCGACAAGGTGCTCTTAACAGGCTTTACTACGGAAATTGAAAAATAACAGGCAGCAAAATAGAGATTGGTGACAAGCTTATGCGTGCCGTGAGCAGAGCAGAACATGTCCGCAAGACGGATTTGTCAATAGGACGGCGTTCCGTAGTCCATCCAAAGAGTTGTGGAGAAGGTAAATGGCAAGGATTTACTGGAGTCCTCTCGACTTCAAATTTGTAAGCACATCTTCGGATTCAAATTTCAAAGAACATATATGGAAGAGACTCCGCAGACGTCAAGATGTCAAGCTGATATATAAGAAAGTGCACGAAACATCCTGCTGACGTGAACGAATGAGGCTCCACTGTCACTCAGAAACTGATTGTCAGTTTTTCTGAAGCTGAGCTTTTGTAGGGGTCTGTGAAACGGCAGCAACTTAATAAGATTTGCCTTCCAGCTCACCTTAAAGGCAAAAGTCGGGCTCAATAAGGGGGTATTATGGCGATTGAAACTGAGTATAGAGATGCGAAGTGGAACGACAGTGGAGAAAAAACTGAGAAAAACCGTCGACAAGGCCGTTAACAAAACCCTCTTTCCCACTAGCAGTGAAGGAGGCTGGCTTGGGAAAGAGGCACGTACAAACAAGTTTTTTGGCGCTCCGCCCATTGTGGGCGGACCTCCGCCAACGTCGCGTGGGCTGGGAGCACCTTAGGCATTGCTCCCCTACACCAATGTTTTCTGCTCTGTAGGCTTTCTCTAAACCGAGTTATGAAATTTTTCATAAAGCACTGCTTTTTTGGAAACGCCCCGCCCACCGGGGGTGGGTCTCCCTAATTCGATGTGACTTACCAATGCACACCTTTACCCACTTTTTGGCCCAGTTTCGAGGTTGTTTTGTCACTGAAATTGAAATCTTGGTCGTCGGTACAGTTCATTTCGATGCACGCCACGCCCACTGTGGGCGGGGCTCCGCTTAGCTGATGTGTGTTTTGTACTTCGTGAGACCTTGCCCACCCATCCCACACTTGACCCGGTCCCTCCAGGCGGATCCCGAGGAGCTAGGGAATTTCGTGACAGACATACAGAACGACAGACGACAGACGGACAGACGACAGAACGACAGACGAAGCGCTTTATAGTAAGTAGGATATACCTTCTAAAAATAGAATTGTTCTGTCCCGAAGTCTCATGTCGATCTAAATGTGTATTAAACAATGTGAGACTTCAAAATTTTATTGCAAAAGACTCAAAACTTTCTACAAAAGAAATTGCAAAAATGAGTGTTTGCAAAAGTTTTGCAAAAGTTTAAGCCTTTTTGGGCGAGCTTTCGGCGCTTAGCGCCTTTGTCGAGCCTGAAATGAAAATTATAAGCTTTCTTAAAGTCTGTTAATATATTAAAATATATTAACTGACCCACCTGCTGTCACATTAATGTGATATTTTGGGAAATAACGGTCGTAGCACGTCAACGCTATTTAAGGGTAAGTCTAGGGTAGGGAACAGTTCCTGCTTCACAGACCGACAAGGGTGGTAAGTGTTACACTTTTGAAAGTGGACAGCAGGTGGGTCAGTTAATATATTTTAATATATTAACAGACTTTAAGAAAGCTTATAATTTTCATTTCAGGCTCGACAAAGGCGCTAAGCGCCGAAAGCTCGCCAAAAAAGGCTTAAACTTTTGCAAAACTTTTGCAAACACTCATTTTTGCAATTTCTTTTGTAGAAAGTTTTGAGTCTTTTGCAATAAAATTTTGAAGTCTCACATTGTTTAATACACATTTAGTAAGTAGGATGTTAATTTGAGGTCATTCTGTTGTTTACTGACTGCACTAAATCAAGAATAAAAGTTTTCAAACATTTGACAGCAACCTTATGTAGTACGTAGGTTGCAAAGAGCGGCCTTAATGTTTTGGGCTGTCGTCAATGTGTTAAATAAGAGTTTCACAATTTCTTTGAGATGTGCCATTCATTCGATCTCGAGTCGATTTTGTGCTTGAGTGCGTGTTTGGAGTGTGCGCTACTTTTCGAGGGGGGCGGGGGGAGAGAGCGGATTGAACGCTCCCACCACCAACACGTTTCCGCGATATGTTTGCGAATTTTAGAGAACGAGGAATATTTTACACTAACACGCCCTTAATCGCTGATACTTTGCAAACTAACCATCTTGAATAAGTTCTGTGCTGGCAACTGCTTTTTTCCTTCATATCCAGGCGCCTCTCCTTCGGCGATGTTTGTTCGAAAATTATTGTGAAATTCCAGAATCAGGGAGCGAATGGTCTCGTTCATGAGGCTACCCTTCGTATTGCAAGACACTGCAATCGAATAAGATTCACTCGCGTACTTTTCGTACCCAAAAGTAGCTTCCTACCCAAATGCCACTATTTTGTCATGAACTTATCATAGTGTAGTGATTTATGACCACGTTTATTAATCATTCTATTATATTAGAAGCACTGGAAACAATGCCCCTTCAAAGTGTGGTAGCGCTCAATAGCCTTTGGTGGAATATTTTTTCAACTTTAACTTTTTTCTGCCGTATCAAATTAGTTAAATTTCAATATATTCTGGAGGCAAGCCATCTTCGCATAACCAACATATTTGTGTCGGATGAGAAAAAGAGTCGAAATGAAAAAATCATAGGAATGAGTATCACTAAATTCAGATGAGTGCTTGATTGTAGCCGTCCAAGATCAGAGAAGTTCATTAGGCTTTTTTTAAGTCTAGTAATAGCCAAACAAAGTTATCTGATCTTGGACGATCAAACACTTAACTGATCCAACTCTGCCACTATTAAAAGGCAGTCGACCCTGTACGATTCTATTACTAAATTTCAAGTAAATTTTATTTTATTATAAGAAGTTTATAAGTCAACAAAACAATGGCCTGAGAATAGAATCTGTCACTGAATTCACTGTCTGTTGAGACAATCTCCTCAATTTTTCTTCGAACTTGACGTCTCTTCTCCATATTCCTGGCTCCTTCTCGATAGTTTCCCCACCCCTTTCCATAGTGTTACCATGACGTTTAGGGCATGTGTCTGAATTGGTTCCTCTTGAGAGCACTCCATTCTGTCAAAATCACTCCACAGAGGAGGCGTGATGGTTTCGGGCGCTCTCGCTAGAAGACGAAGTCAGAAGCGTACAGTTGCTATAAGTTTGATACATAACACCTTCAAGACTAATAGTGGACGCCCGCTTTCAGCAGATCGCAAATCCTGTGAAGTTGTCCAAATGTGAAATTGGTAGGAGATGGAATGAGTTTACGTTCACCTGAACTGGAGATCCCTGCACTAAGGTCATCTGGAGCGACGACAGCGAACTTAGGTTGTTTGTCGGCCATGGAAATAGGCATGTGTGGGGTCCTGACGGAAAACGTTGCTATCAAAGTACCAACCGTCTTTTGTGAAACTAGGCTAATCTCGGTTATGGTAGTCCGTAAAAGAAGTTTTACAACTGCACAGGATTAGAGAAGTGGTGAATGCCGACGTATCAGATAGATTCTAGAAGGAAGTGTGTATCCATGTGTATGGCAACTACACGGTTCCGACTTCATCTCATGGCAACAGAGCGACAAAAGCATGTCATCTCTGCCGTGACGAAGTGGTCTCGAAGCATGACGTGCCTTTAACAAAATGACCAATTCATACAGATGTCCTAAGCGTCATCGAAACACTGTAGAAAGGTAGGAAATCCGGCAGAGGGACGAGAAATTCGTCAAATTCGAAGAAAAAGTATAAAATAGTCTCAATAAAAGTGAAGTCTTCTACACATTCCATACTTAAGCCCTGTTGAGGTTTCAGCACCTCCTGAAGGAAATTAACAAAGTACTGGACCTGCTTAAGTTTTTTATCATGCGGTCGATTGTTTTGGTAAATTGTATGCTTTTTATAATGAAAAAATTCTTTTGGAATTAAAGGCAAAGTTCGGGCTCAGACCCACTTAATGAGCCTTTACGGTGGCTAGAAGCGCTAGGTACGCAAGTGTAGGGTCGCGTCACTTCCCTACTTCGAAAACCGTTATTTAGACGCTAGGCGCTAAGAACTTTGACACGCTCCACCTGTGCGACACGCTCCGCCCACCGCTCGATATCTTGTCTGCGTCGCAATGTTGATCTGCTATGCTCTCTCTACTCGACTTCTCTAGCGCTCTCCGCGCTCACATTATCTCTCATCTCCCTGCCGGCCTTTTGAACTTCTCCGCAGCGTAGAGCAAAAGGCTCGTATTTCCTGTGTATTTCACGATTTTTTTTCTTTTTTCTCCACTGGCGGTCCACTACCTACCCCTACTTTCACATTTGAGTGGAATTACTCATAATTCAATCCTGAATCTTGCCTTTAAGTGATATTCGAGAATATCTAGTGTAGATTTTTCGTTATTGATCTTTTCTTCCATCCAAAGCTAATGTGTCAGTTCAATGAAGAAGGCTGGCTTCCAGAACACATTGCTTCTTGAACTTATTTGATAAGACAGAAAAAGGAAAAAGCCTTCCATTGAAGACTTTTGAGCGCTACTCTACGTAAAACAAAAGCATGGTACAGAGCGAGACTTCTTAGCTACTGAAAAAGAATGAAGAGTAATAGTCTCCGACCAAGAAAAAGAAACTGAAGGGTAGTGGGTAGTTCACGAGGGGTAGGGCAGTGGGTGAGCACAATGTTCAAGTAGAAGGAGTTTGAGGCTGGCTGCCGCTCGGGCTGTACTCATTTTATGTTCAAAGAGAATATTTTCAAAAGTTTAAACTGCCACAGAGAACAGTTTTTGACAAATTTGGAATTTCAAAGATTAGGAAAAGAGTTGTGAACTAGTGTGGGGGACTCGGATGGAGAATGTTGTGGAAATGGCGGCTACTGATTGCAATATCAAGATTAGATTTAAAATTTGCGCAGACAAACTTTGACAGCCCTTTAAGATAAGGATTCAATGCACCTAGTTTTTTTGACTTAGAAGTATTGTGCATACATGGAGAATCAAGAGACCAGGTTTTTTGGAACACTGATCTTCGGCAAGATGAACTTAAAGGAATCATCCACGGAAAAATCATGATTCCATTTCGCCCATAAATTACTGGCTCGAGACCCATCATTCAAGATAAGAAGAGAAAGCATGAAAAAATTGTGTATGCTTTCGTGAACAATCCGAAGGGCCCAAAGAACTGTTGCAAGTTCGAATTCCCGCCCTATATCTGTTACAAATATCGGCGATGAGAACTATCCCATTTGATTTCGGGGCTGCCCAAACAAGGAGCTTTTTCTGCCTTTTTCACCTATTGCGATTACATTTCTCTACTGCATCCCATTCCATCACGACGGCAGTGTTGTAGTGACAAGTAGTCCCGCTTACCACGCGCGCGGTCAGGAGATTGAATCCTGGCTAGGAGGATAACACTGAGTCCTGAGTTGCACATCGGCAAGTCATTGTATAGGCCACATCGCATTCAAACGCCACTACGAATGTACAAATGGAAGTAGAATGCGTGCCGCATCCCAAAAAGGGATTGATCAACGGCAAATGCTTTATCCTTTTATCCTTTTATCGATATTGTTTCTGCTACAGCTCATAGCTCCACCTCTCTGTACAGCAGATGGCCCCTTTACTCTATCTCTCACATAATTAAGTATCCTTGCCATGTCCAACATGATCTCAAAAACTATATTGAGTCCAGGTTTCGACCACAACTCAATGAACTGAATAAGAGAGATGTTGGGTTGCTGCCCACACATGGCATTAAGTTGAGGTAACGGCCGAGTATTTTTATCAAATGTGTCAGGAAAATTTCAGAAATTAATTTTAAATAGCAGGGGCTCCGAAACTTATAGAAACTTATAGAAGAAATACAAATAAACTCAGTAAAATAGAAATAAGCATTTCAAGAGAATCAACTTTACCAGTGCTATCTAATGCTTCCTGTTCAGGTTAGGAACTCTCACCGAGAATAGGGTGAACTTTGAGTAACGCTCTACGATCTGCTGTGTTATCTAAAGCACAGCCTGCTAACGTTAAAACTTTAGAGGCTGCTTCTAGCGCTTTTCAAGAAGTGAACTAGGCGAGGTCAACGTGACATCTTGTGTCTCGCTCTGCGCGACCTCCAGATAACAATATGAACCTTCAGATTGCACTATTTGCCACCCAGTGCCTATAAGTGTGTTCTCTCGTATCATTGGGCCCTATATAAATCCGTGCCTGAAAGATACGGGGCGCTTATAGTGCATGAATCGCGCTAATAAGTCGCCGGTAAACTACTCATTACACCACAGTCCCTACAGGCCCACTGAAACATATACTTCAAACGACCGACATATTCGGCCTACAGACTGGCCGTATTCAGCCACTTTACCGCTGATAGCTCATAAAGTCGTGGCTTATTTGCCCTGGCAGTGCCCGGACGGAACCGTAGTTACTCCCAGTCTAAAGCTGCTACATGATTACTTAAGTTGAAATACTGATGAGTAGTAAATTCCATGTTCGGTTTTCTTGGAAACCTGGGCATTTCGGATATTGTGTTGTTTCTTCTGTGCCATACAGGTTGTTATGGTGGAACACGTTTATTGGTCAACGTTTCGACAATTCGTCGTCTTCAGGACCTGAAACTGGTTCGAAGTCCTAGCTCTGTAGCTCACCCGGTAAAGCACTTTACCGGGTGAGCTACAGAGCTAGGACTTCGAACCAGTTTCAGGTCCTGAAGACGACGAATTGTCGAAACGTTGACCAATAAACGTGTTCCACCATAACAACCTGCATGGCACAGAAGAAACAAACAACTGATGAGTAGCTCCCCAGCGACACTAGCTCTGACTATCTACCACACACGATCAACTTCTCAGATGATGTCGCAATGGCTCTTAATCCGTTGAGAACCTCGCTGAGCTCAAACCGTACACCATAATCTTCTGAGCCTCTCAGATTCGAAAATTCTGATTAGGCAAAATTCGGAATAAAATAGGTGTCTAAAAGCGTTCGTCATGATACTAGAGGTGGGAGGTGGTCTATAAAGAAGGAAAGCAAACGAAATCACAGATTACGCCCCGTACAGAAACCTCCCCTATTTCAGCAACATTCCACCTTGGGATAGAGAAAAGGCGCGTTGGACGAGTTTCGCGAGCCTGACTCTAGTTGCTCCAGTGCCATTGACACAGGATCGCGGTGGGACCGCTGCCTCAAATGCGCCCGCGCTTTTCAAGCAGCACACGTGGCAACGGACAGCGGAGGGTGGGGCTTGCGGAAAAAGGTGTGAGTTGCAGATCGGACGAGCTGCTTGTGCCTTTGTCCCGCACTTTCAAGCTGCAAAAGGGG